TAGCAGAGAAACATATTGTGTAAACACGCGATTGAATTGTACACGCAAAATGTTTTGCCCCTGGCCTTGAGCCGCTCCAACTTCTCACGCACAGTGGCCGCCCCATCGCCGTGCTGCAGAGCCGCGCCAGGAACGCATCTGCAGGGCTTGGGGCTGAGCTCGCTGCAGACGCTGAAGCCGGTGGAGACAAGGCGCTGACCAAGGCCTCGACCAGAGCTGGCTTCGTGAGTCCTCCGGACAAAGATCCCACTGACACACCGGCAGCCCTGCCCACATCGACCAGGACGGGGCCAGTGTCTGAAGCAGCTTTCACCTCAGGCAAACGTGAATGATTCAAGCTAAGAAACACAGTGTGTAAACATGCGATTGAATTGTAGACACAAAATCTTTTGCCCCTGGCCTTGGGCCTCTCCAACTTCTCACGCGCAGAGGCCGCTCCATCGCCCGGCTGCTGCTGCGCCGTGCTGCGGAGCCGCGCCAGGAACACATCTGCAGCGCTTGGGGCTGAGCTCGATGCAGACGCTGAAGCCGGTGGAGACAAAGTGCTCACCAAGGCCTCGACCAGAGCTGGCTACAAAGTGCTCACCGAGGCCTCGACCAGAGCTGGCTTTGTGAGTCCTCCGGACGAAGATCCCACTGACACACCAGCAGCCCTGGCCACATCGACCGAAGCAGCGCTCGAAGGCAGACTTGTGCTGACGCCTCACAAAGTCTGCAGCGCGTGCCGCGGCTGTTGCAGGACATAAGCACGCATCTGCGCCAAAAAAGCATCCGCAAAAAGCCATGGCCGATGTAGCTGACAAGTGCTGCGCTCTGGCGAACTTGTTTATGTGCGTGCAAGAGCTACTCTTCTCAACCATTGAATGACGCAGCCCAGTTTTAGCACGCATCAGCCGCATCCCAGCATTAGCTCATGATCCAACGCACTGAGGTGTAACTTACTTTCAAAGCAAAACTGCGCATAGGTGCGAAGCTAAAGCTATGCAAAGCAGCGCAGCGCTACGCAGCAAAGCGCGCGAACAGATACCGGACCAGTTGCTATGCGCAAGTTGCTCTGCGCAAGTGGTCCTATGCAAGCTGCTATGCGTAAGTGGGCTCTGTGCTATACGAGGATCAGCCGGACCAGGGGAGACTCGAGCCCGAGGCCGCTGGCTTCCAAGAGACAGCGCGCAAGCCACGAGGCAAACTTTCGAGCCCGCTTCCACGGCGTTTCCCCGCAGAGTGTTCGTCGGCGAAGCTGAAATTCAAACGGCGCCACAGTGAGAGCGCTCCGACACGCACGATCCCCGCAGAGGGTTCGCCGGCCAGCGTTCAAATTCGAACGGCGCCATGCAGCGAGAGCGCTCCGACACGCATGATCCACGCAGAGGGTTCGGCGGCGAGCTTTCAAATTCGAACTGCGCCACAACGAGAGCGCTCCGACACACGATCCCCGCACAGGTTCGTCGGCGAGGTTTCAAAATCGAACGGCGCCACAACGAGAGCGCTCCGACACGCACGATCCCCGCAGAGGGTTCGTTGGCGAGCTTTCAAATTCGAACGGCGCTCCGCAGAGGGTTCGTCGGCGAGCTTTCAAATTCGATCGGCGCCGCAGCGGGAGCGCTCCGACACGCGCGATCCCCGCAGAGGGTTCATCCCGCAAATGCCCGCCAGACCCTTCCCCGGCTAAGAAAGAAGATAGAATTGAAGGCTGTGTGAGCTAGGCTGCGTAAGCTAAGCTGCGTAGGCGAGGCTGTGAGCTAGGCTGCGTAAGCTAGGCTGCGTACGTCTGGCTGCGTAAGCTAGGCTGCTTAAGTCCGGCTGCGTAAGCTAGGCTGCTTCAGTCCGGCTGCGTAAGCTAGGCTGCTTCAGTCAGGCTGCGTGAGTCAGGCTGCGTAAGCTAGGCCGCTTCAGTCAGCCTTTTTAAGCTAGGCTGCGTGAGTCAGGCTGCGTAAGCTAGGCCGCGTGAGTCAGGCTGTGTAAGCTAGGCCAGGCTGCGTAGGCTAAGGCTGCGTAAGCTAAGCGCAAGTCAGGCGGCGTAAGCTATGGCCATAAGCTGAGCATGTCAAGCTGAGAATGTCAAGCTGAGACCGTCATACTGAGAACGTCAAGCTGACAATGTCAAGTGGTGCAACAGAGCAACCCTTTTTTTCCAAACCACCCTTTGATAGCGCTTTCGGGAAAAACGCAAAGCTTCCTTTTGTACTTTCTGGATCTGCGCGGGCTCAGGCAAACAACTCCGGGCAAATAGTAGAAGATAACGTCTTTACACAAAAGTACGGGCAAACAGTCACACAAAGGGGGTTGCCCAGAAGAGGCCCTGATCCTCTTTAATGTGACTGTTGTGGGTTCCCTTTAGTGTCCAACTGCATTTTCGGGATAGCTGAGAAAAAAACTTGGAAATACTACAGTAGAATTGGCAATGCTAAAGGAAGTACTGGGATCTGGGAGTCAGCCTTGGCAATACTAAAGTAGAATGGCAATACTAACGTAAGTACTGGGAATCTGAGAGCCTTGGCAATACTAAAGTAGAATTGTCAATGCTAAAGTAAGTACTGTCCCTCCCAGGCCCCCCAAAATTTTCACTAAAGAGGGTCCAGCTGACTGATTCCGCTGTTCGGGGGGGAGGGGCGTGCAAAGCGGGTCCAACATTACAGTGTCCAAGAAGGGACATGGCCACCTTTGAAAAAAACACAGCCAGGCTCCCTTTTTCGACTACGACTTCACAGTATAGTCTCCCTTTTCCGTTGCAGGCGCCCGCTGCTCCGAAACTTTCCTCGTGACCCCCTGCCAGCACTTGACCGGCGTTCAAGCGTGCCGGATATGGCGCCATTGAAGGGCGCCTGAAGAGCTCTCTCTCCAACATGGTGTTTGGAAACCTCTGAGGGTCACTGGATTTCCCTTCGCAGGTTGCATTTGTCCTGGTGGCCATTGAAACTGCCACTTTTGGAGGTTCCAAGAAGGGGGAAAAGAGGACACCCTATCCCAATCAGCCTTGCTTTGGTTCTGGTTGGCTTGTGGTAAGGAAATGGCCGTCGGCGTCCTGCTCCTTTGCTCATCGCTAGCCAAATGATAGAAATAAACTCACTACCTTTGTGAAGATCAGCTGTCTTCCAAGGAACCTCCGACTAGCTTCCATTGCTGGGAATCGGGGGGTATGAGTTGACAAGTTCTTGGCGCAAGCTGCTTCTTGGCCATGGCACCATGCTGGCACGCTGCGAATCCCTTTGTTTGGCCGTCACGGTAAAAATTTGCCTCAACATCCGCGGAGGCGCGAACTGGGAAACAATGGGCATCCCAAGTCAGCATCGCGCTACTCACGAGAAGCATATCCAGGCAAAACATGCCAAAAAGGCGAACCAGAGCAAATTGTCTCAAGGGAAGCCTGCAAAGGAGGGTCGAGTCTGTTTGAGCAAGGCAAGGTAAAGCAATCAAACCATTGGAATACACCCTTGCTTGGGTCATTGGCCTCTTTGAGACCCGCACCCGTTCTCAAATCCCTCAGAGAAGAGATCAGACTAGTCACGGAGCATGGCACAAACAGCTGCACCTAAAGATCGACGCTTGGTATTTCCAAGGGTCTCATTTCAGCCAGCAAAAACGGGTAAAATCCAAAATCGCCACACCCTCGCGAGCTTTCCTTCGAAACTGGGTGACCCGGTTTGTCGCAACCCCTGGTATGTCACGAAATCGTTGCAGCCGCAAAAAATGAGCAGAACACGGAAGCCTTGGGAACAGTCAACCAAAGAGCCCTCGTTTGGACCCAAGCCTCTGCTCCTCTCTGCGGCGCGGCCAGCGAAATCTGAAAGAGGATTCCGCGCCGCAGTCGTCTTCAGCAGAAAATTGGGAGGGGGTTGCTCCTAAAATGCAATCGGTAAACCGAGGTAACCTCAACATGTTGAAGATCATTGATGGAAGGCGTTGCCTTTTGATTTCCATTCAGGCAAAAGTGCAGGAGGTTTACGCTCAAATTTGCTGGGGAACTTCAGACCTTTCTCACGCCATACATCAATATTTTAGGCTTGCCGAGAATGGAGCGCCACACCGTGAAGTGATTGCAATTGCCGTGCTTCCAAAGGCTGCGGTATTTTGACTTTGGGGACCAAGGCAACACGGTCTCTCCTTCATCTTTCACCTATGAGCCGTGCTGTTGAGCTTGCTGTGCGCGTGAATCTGAGCAAGCAGTGGTCGCGACGCAGGGGAGAGGCTCAATTTATGCCCTTGACACACATCCGATGAGAATGCACAGGTTAGCAATGATCAATTCAACGGAAGGGATGTCAGTTTTACCGGCGGCTAGCTGCTTCCGATAAAATATTAACTATATGCAACACTGCAACACTCGCGATACCTACTAGTGTAGTGCGGTGCTCCTCAGAATCGTTAAAGCGAAACTACATAGCCAGGAATCGCAACTTCTCACTGCACACTGTTCAACAAACAAGGCTTGACAAGCTCGCAAAGGGTTGGTGACCCCCCCTGCAATTCGAAGCCAATTAACCCCCTAACACGCATAGCGGATCGAAAAGCCAGATCCAAAACGCAAACTCCAAGCAAAGCTACTGGTTCACGATGTTTATGTGAATTTGGCTATGGACTGCCAAGTCTGCTGCGGTGTGAAATACGTTGCCTGGAAGAGTTTGATCAGGTTCTGTCCGCTTGCAGTTCCCGTTTTGGTGAAGCGTAGAAATACTCTGTGCCCCAGGCCACGCCCAACAGCAGGAAAGTCGAGAATCTCCTGCTTTCTCGTGGGATCACGTTTCGACAGGTGCGTCGGCGTCCTACAATATGCTTATCCTCAAGCATCACCCCACCAAAACGACAAGCCGCTCACAATCAGCTGCCAAAAAGGTGATGCTTCAAGCCACTCCCTCGCCATTGGAACGAAAGGATTAACAATCCCTTACTTTTCAAGGAACACCCCCCTCCCACCGCCGGCATCCACCTGAACCTGGGATGGACGGAGTGAGCCCCCCGACCGCCGATTCACGCACTTCCAGCGCTTATCCTTTCTCCGGACGCTAGGGCTCGCAGCAGGGCGCGGTGCTGCGCCGCATCCAAGCCGCCAGGCCCTGGAATCAAATCAGCTCAAACACCAAGACGAATCACGTGGCATGCCAAACCACCATACAGGCTGGACCAAGCAACTTCCCAAAGTCTGGAGATATTTCAGGCCAACCGAACAGAATGGGCCAACCGAACAGAATCCAAATTCGCCAGGTCTCCTGCCTGGCTGTACGCCAGGCGCCTGCCACCGGTGGCAGCGCGTCAAACTGCTGAGGCTGAAGACGTCCCTTGGGCTTTGGGCGCGGGCGTCCGAGAGACTAAGAAAACACCAGCATGCATGAGCACCTTTTGCCCGTTTGTTCGAAATTCCTGCAACTATGGGAACTTCTCCTGGTCCTAAGGTGCCACCCGCTACTTCAAACTCGCGACGTGGTTGGATGTTTGCCCAACTGTGTTTTGAACATGTGCAAAATGCTGTGCTCAACAACCTGAAGCAATTGCATGTTCAATGGTGTGTGTGTGTGTTTCTTTGCTGGCCGTCAAGCATGCAAAACGCACACGTCTACAAACAAGCTCTTGGTCTTCTCAGCCCTTGCAACTGAGATTTGCCAACAGCAAAATGGCTGGAATGATCATTCCATTGGGAGTGCATCCGGATTTGGAATTTGCGCGTGGGAGTACAGCAAATGTAAAAGGCCCAAATCGGAAAACCAAAAGGTCACAAGATCACCTTGGGATGCTTGAGCTGGTCGCACCTACAGGTTCGCAGCCCATCAGAAAATCCGGGGCGCGGGGTGATGGAGCGCGCCGGAAGTGAGGTGAAAAGATCCAGCGCTCGCTGCCACTCCTAGCGGCAGATGCATGGTCAACACCAGGATTGGGCTCAACTCCTGCTTAAATATGGGTGTCGCTTTTGAGGGCAGCAGCGTTTTTGGTATTCGGGAAAGTTAAAGGAAGACCAACACCCATCTTTCCAAGCTACTGCTTTGACATCTTGTGGGATTCTTGCAGGGGTGCGCAAACCACTCCTGGTCAAGCTCAGTAGGGGTTGCACACTTTCTTTTTCTCTCTCCTGGGGCGTAGTGTTTCTGGGTTGTGGAACGCTTAGGTGGTCACTCCCAAAACGCTGGCCATGGCGGCTCCTTTCTGCCAAGAGGGTCCATCACATCCCGAAAGAAGGGATCACCCGTTTGTTCGACCTTGTGGGTGAGAGCATTGTACTCCCAGGCAAGCTTATTACACATTAAAACGGGCCAAACTGGGGCACTGTTGACCCTGAACTTTGTTGACCCTGGATGACTGAACCTGGTGTGCTATTAGGGGGTACTCCCCCCCGAACCAGGGATTTATTGCTCATGGGTTCCCATTGCCCTCAGCAAATGAAGCAAGCAAGCTGTATAGCTTGGGGACCAAAAGGTGCACTGAGCAAGCAGTTCACAGACTCTGGCCGAGGGTTGCAACGAAATCAGCCCGAGCAAGCAAACCACGGTTGCCCTGGACAAAAGCAACATCCACCCCAAGTGAGATCCGCTTGTGCACCTACAATCGTGTGAATTCCTTCAAAAACTAAAAATTCCTGAGTGATTTCGGGAGGGAATCAAGCAAGTTGGCAAAGGGCAACTACTACAGTATCAGTTCAGTCCGTGGCGGAAACATGGATTTGCCCCTTGCAAGTAATGTTACACCCGCTTTAATGAAAGTCGCCGCTATTGTAAAAAATAGTTTTGCAATTCAGGATCCTGAGACTGTTTTAGGGGTCCGCTATTGTTGCAAGTTTTTTCCCCTCCCCAAAAAATCAAAAAAGCATAGGCTTGTTTGTTTTCAACTCTCTGGTCTGGGCAGGCTCAGGTCGGGCTCAAGCAAGACTAAGCCTTAGCTGCTGTTGAGCTGGAGGCTGGTTCTGAGCTAGCCTGAGGTCTAGGAAATCCATTTTGCAAGTTGTGCCCAAACCATCAAATTTATGATAACTTCTTTACAAAAAAACAAGGTGAATCAATCACACAAAGGGGGTTGCCCACAACCAACCCTGATCCTCTTCAGTGTGATTGTTTTGGGGTCCTCGTTAGTGTTCAACTTGTTTTGGGCGCAAATCTCAAAAGGAAGCTCTACCAATACTAAATCATTTTGACACTCAGTTCCGAATCTCAAAAGGAAGCCCCAGCAATACTAAATCAAATGGAAACTCAGTTCCAAAATCTCAAAAGGAAGCTCCAGCAATACTAAATCAAATGGAAACTCAGTTCCAAAATCTCAAAAGGAAGCTCCAGCAATACTAAATCAAATGGACACAATTCAATTCCAAAATCTTAAAGGGAAGCTCCGGCAATACTAAATCAATTGGAAACTCAATTCCAAAATCTCAAAAGGAAGCTCCGGCAATACTAAATCAAATGGAAACTCAGTTCCAAATCTCAAAAAGGAAGCTCCAAGCAATACTAAATCAAATGGAAACTCAGTTCCAGATCTCAAAAGGAAGCTCCAGCAATACTAAATCAAATAGAAACTCAAGTCTACCAATACTAAATCAATTTGAAAGTCCCACCCAGACCCCCAGGGTTTGCCTAAACAGGGTCCCGCTGACTGGTTCCATTGTTCAGGGGGGGGGGATCATATTAAAGCAGGTCCAACATTAAGCTCGAACCAGCTGGTTTCTTTGGGGACATGCCCTTTGTTTGGCTCACCAGGAAGCCATTGGGGAAAGAGGGACATGTGATTCATCGTGAGGCCGGGCGGGGGGGCGGGGGGCGGGGGGAACCAACGGTTTAAATAAGAACCGCGCTATTGTGGGAAAATACAATTCGCGCGCTAGTGGGAGTTCAAGGTTTGCAGTGAATTGTTTATCATTTGTTCATCACACAATCTCTAATATAATTCCCAAATTGGAAATAGGGGCAGGAGTTGTTCAGGCCTTTCGTTGAGGGTGTCCTGTTCCCCCGAGCTGAGCTCCAAAGTAAAAATTGGGTAAGGATTCCCGAAGGTATCCGAGTGGTTGCCTCACCATCCGCCAGCGCTGCCAAGACCATGTTGGGCATGCCGATGTCAGGCACCTGCGACACCAAGAAAGGCATCTTTTCTGTTCTCTGGTTCGGGCTTCACGGCCAAAATCACGGGCCCCAAGTGCCTCAACATTTGACAGTTGAGGCCGTGACCTGATGGTCTCAAAGGCATCGCACCTGGAAATGCATTCCACATGTGTGACATGTGTTGACAGCGTTCCTGACATATCATGCAGGGCCTTCCGCACCCCCTAAACCAAGTGCGATGCAGCCAAACGAGATATCGCTCAGCCAAAAGCTCCAAAGAGTCTGCGCGAAAAACATGCTGCCCTCCACGCCTGCCCTCGGCGGCTAGCGGAGGCCCTGAAGAAGCCAGGCATGCATCCAAAGAGCACTTTCAGGCATGTATCAGAATAAAGGCAGGTGTACATTCAAAGCGGCTGTTCATTGCTGCAAAGTACAAAATCGATACATTGCATGCAATGCTACTCTTTCATCAGTGTGCTGTCATTTTGCCTTGCTCGGCGTTAGTTTGACTTTGGCGTTGTTTTGGCTCAGGATCTTGTTTGCACAGCATGCGCAGCCAACGCCTCAAGTTCAAGCGTTCAATGAAAGAACCCAACATGCTCATGTTTTCCCAAGACGGACTTGTTTTGCGCAAGCGCACGCGCAGACAAGCGCACGCGCAGACAAGCACCGGCCCAACTTGTGTGGAGTTGAGTAAGATCCCCCCCACCCTCAACTGGTCGAAAGGCGTCAGGATAGGTCCCCCCCCCCCCCCCCGCGCTCTCAAAGCAACTTTGAATCGACTCCGAGGCATCACACGTGCGAGGTCAATCAAACAGGATCTAACCACCCAAAGTGTCAAGCATCCATGCACGTCGGTGAATGCAAAATCATGCACACTGCTTGAGTCTGACTACTTTGCTGCGTTGAAAGATGCCACAGAAAGTGGCAGCCACAACCCAAATGACCACAACACCTCAAACAGCACCGCAACAAAAAGCAAACTCAACTTCAACTGGCCTTTCCAAACGGTGCGGTTTTCACACCCCCGCCCAAAAAAAGAAAGCAGCCGCAGTGAACCGCATCCAAGAGCGGCTGTTTACCTTACCAAGGGAAAATGTAGGGAACATTTCCGGCCGAAACTCTCCGAGCTCCCTCCCACTTCCGGGCGAGAGGCAGCAGGAGGCAGGCCGCACGCCACTGGCCCAGGCAGCTGGCGATGGCCGTTGAAAAGCTCACCTCGTTCCTCGATCTCAACACGTCGCGTCACTGGAAGGTCAAAAGGTCGGCCTTCAGAAACGCCTTCTTCACCCGCACAAAGTCAGCGGCCACTCATGGGCAAAAAATGAGTTATGTACCCATCAAGCACAACATGAGCATGTACCCTCAAAAGGGGTTGCAACTAGCTGCCCAGCTTTCTGGCATCCAGTTGCTCAGAGCCCCGAGCGGCAGACCAAAGAATCAGAGCCGGTTCTTGGGACAACATTGCACTGCTTCCCACGGCGAGTTGTTGTTGTTTGTTTCCTTTTCTTTTTCTCAGCCTTGGTCCCTAAGCACAGATTTCATTCTTACGAACCGTGAACCAAGACCCCCCGCCAATGGCCATGGGGAACAAAGCCATGGCACCTGTTTTTGCATACGGTCTGTATGTGCCTCTCTTGGTCAACCGAAAGAGAGTCCTTCGTCAGTTGCCCACCCCCAAACCACTGCCCTCAAGGGAAATATGGGGGTATAACCCTGAATTCCCTTTGGGGGGTAGTTGTTTGGGGGCGGTGGAAACCATCTCAGACCTTAGGAACGGCTGGCCCTGACTTCAGAGCCAGACTCGGAGCCAACTTCCGCGCTGGCATGTCTGCCAGCAGCTGCAGGATCAGCGCCCAGTGTCCCCCTGATTTGCTTGTGACTAGGGTTTGAAGAGGCTGCCAAGGGGTTCAAAGTTCAAAAAAGGAAGCTGCCTTGTACATGTTAAGTTGCTTCAAGGGATGTAAGTGGGCAATAGTGAGTGGACAAACTCGCGCCTTGCAACTTTGCTGCCGCCTTGAGCAATGCTGTGAATGGTGCAAGGTGCTCTTGCCGGACTTCTCTCGAATCACTGCTCGTGTCTGACGCATTGCTGCCGCCGAATGAGGCCCTTTTCATGTCTTGCTTCAGGGGGACCCTTTCACATGTGGCGTGTGTGTGTGTGTTCGCATATGTCATATGTGTTTTGGCACTGACTTGTTGGTGCCGATGTGCGCTTTTGTCGCACTTTGTTTGCACCGCCATGTTGTTGGCTTTTGTGTGTTGGCGGCTCCCTGTGTTGGACAGAAAATGACCTGGTTTACGCTCAAAACTGGTCGAACGCAATGCGAGAAACAGAGCTGCGAACATCCGTGTCATGTATCGATGGCCCGAGTTACACAAGTGTAACGTATAGACTGCACTGCCCAAAGGTCCGCCTGCTTGAGCGGCTGCCATAGCCACGTTCATGCCTTGGATCGGGCTGAAGAGCCGGCATGGAGAGATGGCCATCCACTGAACTGACTTCCCACAAAAGTAGTCCAAAGACTTGAGAAGTGAAAGCCTGCTAGTTGAGTTAAGATTTTCGAGCCTTGAGCCGATTTGCCCCCTCACAGGACACATGGGCGTGCTGATTCGGAACAATGGTGGTGTGTCTTCAAGGCGCCATTTTTCCGACAAGCGCGGCCTCATTCACTTCGACAATTGTTGAAAGCGGGTACGCGTTTGGCGTGATGTTATGATGCGGCGTGAATGAAGCTAACAGCCGGATGTCTTGAAACCAGGCTGCGGGATCCATGCAGGCCTTGGGCCTATTCCCATCTTCCGTTTTGTGAGAGCCTCAGCTACTTCCCCACGTTAAGCAACAACCCGAACTGGAGAATCGCCCATTCTACCTCGCCTCGCGCCCAAAGCAATTTGAGCCTTTGGCTTGCCCGCTTCCAAAAAATGATCTGCCCTTTTTCTTTTGGCTCCCAACTTTGGAACTTGGAGAATAACCCAGCCCTGGCTCGCCTTGACCCAAGTTTGAAACATACCGGAAAATGACACTCATTCTCAGGGAAGCTAACGACTGAAACGGAAGCTTACAGTGAAGAATCCTGCTTCAACTTTGCAACCAGGTTCCTAGGCCTGCAGCCCAACACAACGAAGCCAACCGAGCAGAGCGCGGTTGGAAGCCGAGCCGCTGACGAGATCGGGCCGGTGTCGCTCTTTGAGCCTCAGTCGGTCAGTGTCCGGGTTTGAGTGATTTGGTGTCTCCTGGCCGTTGAGCAAAAAGTCAACCTTTGATAGGTGTGTTTTTTTTTGCTACGGGGGAAACATGCAATTTTCACCGTGCCTCGGGCCCTCCTCCCCTGCCCAAGCTGCCAAGGTGGAGCATGGCTGGATATGGCTGGTCTTTGGTGTGACTGAGTCGCCCATTAAGCCGTTTCGAGACAAGCCGCTTTTCCATGAAACCTACCAGGGAACTTTGGACGAATTTCTTCACGTTCCTCCCAAATGGACCATAGACTGCCGAAAATTATGTTTCATATGGAAAGTTGCAAGTTCCTCGGGCTAACCTCAACGTTTCTACAGAAAGCCGCGGTGGGTCCCAACTTCCATGTGCCTAGTCTTTCCCAGCAATGAGGAAACAAACCACAGCTGAAGCTCCGGCAGCCTTTTCCAGGGATCCCAAAGCGGGTCGCCTTGCTCACTGACAGAAACACTGGTACACATGTGACCGTTCAAGCACGTTTGTGGGGTTGCTTGGCTCACCCAGAGCCACTCTGCTCCACTACGGTTTCAAGGTTCAGGTTTAAGGTCTAGCTTACCCTCAGTTTATGTTTAGATTTAGGGTGTGACTTCCCCTCCAACACTCAGCCTAGGGTTCAGGTTTCGGGCTTTAGGTTTAGATTTCGGATTCAGTTTTCCCTCAACCGTCAGTCGAGGGTTTGGGTTTAGGGTGCTTGCGATGCTTGAACATAGGCAGGGGTTCTGGGCGTGTGGGTCCCCCAGAGTGCCTCCAGGCAAACAACAAGTGCGAATTGGCAGGACCTTTCTGGTTAGTATGTCATCAAGTTGTTATGTTCTAACGCTGCTCGCTCTCGGCAAATCACGCTTGCTACCCCGTGGCTTCTGACTTTTCAGTTGGTTGCTTCGCTTTGGAGTCAAACAAGGTGCTGCAATTCGCCGATGGAATGGAATTGCAAATAGCAGCAGAAGCCTGAGAGAAACGTCCGCTGAAGAAGACGTGCACCCCCTTCATGAACATTTCCTCTGTCACACGACGCTGCCCGCCATTAAGTCTAAGTGGGGATAGGGAAACCAACTGGGGGACAATACTACCCCTCTCTTCATCGATCCTCCTCTGTGCCCCACATTTTTGCTTCACCCTACCATGCTCCATCCAACTGGTGTTCAGTATAGGGCTCTGAACTATTCCTTAAATAAGTCTCTTTCAGGTCTACTTGGTACACCCCATGGCCAACCAATTTTGCCCAACCAATGCCCAGAGTGTCCTTCACTCCTTTTCGGCCTCAACCCCAAACGAGGCCGTGGCATGGCTTGGAAGACCTGCAGAGACTTCTCCCAGGCACCGCCCGCTGTGCAGGACTCCATGGTGCTGGTGAAGCCTCTGGCTGAGCTGAAAACAACCAAAGACGAATTGATTGCAGCTGCGTCATCAGGGAATACAAGGGCCACGGCACCACACGCTATTGAAATTGGAACTAAACAAATATATATGTATATAGACACACGCATCTATAATATATATCATATGTGCAAAGGTTAACTTGCGGACAGGGCCTGGGCAGAAGGGTCTAAGCTTTCCGTGGCGCAGTCGAAGCCTCACCGGGCCAACCGAACCAATGAGTTTGATCCCTGCAAGCATCCAGTTCTCAGTGGGCCAGTGATGGGCCAACGGTGCTCCAGCAAACCCGGCCTTATGGGCATTAACCACGTTCTGAAGGCTGCAGCACTTTGAGAATCATGCACTTCCAGGATCCAGTTGCGCATGGCTGGCCTTGCACTATACACTGGGCACCGGTCATGCGCGTGCCTTGGCCATTGCAGGCAAAGACACACAAATGCAAACAGCAACAACCACACACACACACAAACTCCAGTCGTCCTTCTGGAGCCTACTTTGCCCCGGCGTGCCTCGTTCAAGCATATTGGCAACATACCTAGAAGCCGGGAGCAAGCCATGTCAAAGTTACACAAGAGGTGGCCCCAGGAGCTGAACACCTTGACGCAACGGGCCTCCCGAACGAAACTGCATGCAACTTTCAGCCGGGCCACTGATGACATTGGGGTCCATGAGCGCCATTTCCTCGGGACGCTGGTCATCACACGACCGGGCCCCGACGTCGAACGACCTAGGGGACACACTGATAACTACAGCTATACAACCAACAGGGTTTCAGGCCCACCCGCCAAAGCGTCACGATCAAAACCTTTTACTAGAGAAGTCTCACTTATTGCTGGGACCGTCCCCTGCAAACCTTCAACCCGCAGTTTGAACGTGCCTCATCGTGCCTCTACATATTGAATTCCAAACGTGAAACTCCACACGTGCTTCTTGGGGGCTTCGGCTTCACACATTCTCGCCGGGCTGCGATGCGCTGCAGCAGGCGCAGGGCGATTTGCCACGCGCCTGCCCGCGCCACAGCGCTCAAGGCGGTATTGAAGCCTGGGCCACGAATCCCCTTCGGCCTTCGACCGCAAGCTTCCAAAGGGGCCCACCTTTCTTTGGCCAAGTTTTCTTGTTTGTTACGGATAGGAATGATAGGAAAAAAGAACATGGCGACAACCAAAGGGCGAAACGGTCAAGTCTGGCAATGCCTTGGGTCGCACCCTCTGCCAGAGGATTCACTCTTTGAGTGCCCCGAAGGTAGGCTCAAAAGGGACTCTTCTGGGAAGGTCAGACACCCAAAAGAGGCCCTGTGCTTCTGCGGAGTTGCACCAAACATTCCCCGTGGCTTTCGCTTGGGAGCTGATGAGATTCGGCTTCTCCTGGTGCGAGGCCTCTCGCTCGGGTGTAACACACGTGGTCTTCCGAGAGGAAAGGCCGGCAGGTCGGCTTTGAACATGACGGAGCCCCACTTTGCTTTGACCTTCTACATTCGGAACCCAAGTCGCTGAATTTCCAAGGGGGCTGAACACACCACCCTGATTTCGCGCGATTTGAGTGCCAGTAGAGGCCTGGAAAGATATCTTGCTCTTGTTGTTGTCGTCTCTCTTTTCTGTTGTTTGCTGTCGCCCTGGCGGGGGGGGGGGAGGGATGCATCAACATGGGGACCTATCTCCACATGGGAGCCAACAACAAAGCTCAGCACCAGCGTGAGATTAACTAATCAACCGTGAAAAGGAGGCCCCATGGCAGCGTCAAACACAGAAGGCACGATTTGAGTTAGGAACTCTTAGGAGTCTCTAAAACCTATACGCACATGAATGATATGCAATAACTGTTGTAGACACAAGTATCGCAACATCGACCAATCGACCAATGTGTGCACAAATGCACTGGAGTGCTTGCTGAGCACCTGAGGCCACCTGCAACACGCATCCTAAATCCACGCCAAATGTGTACTGAGAATGCGTTGTTGAGAAACAAGGTGGCGGGAATACGTAGGTGAAGAAGCTCCTTAACTATTTGAGGCATTCATGAAGCCACAAAAAACAGAAGTTCATAAACATGCATTCTCATATTAAGATTTACTGCTGGCTGTGTCCGACCATGGTGTCTTCCATCATTAGAAGTCTTTGTTGAGATTGTGCCGCTATTTTCTACCGTCCAATTTCACGAGGCATGGTCTACCAAACATAGAAAGACCTCAGGCAAGCGAGCCGAACGGCAAACATTTGTTATTTCGTAACCAGCGTCTAGCAGGGTGCCAAACAGATGACAAGTCAGTGTTGACATGAACCCATCCAAAGTATGAAATGATATGATTCTTGAGATGACCTAAGCCTAGATCAAAAACACAGGCAAATATGGATGGGCTCCCCTTAAACCCTCCAATCCCTGCAAAAAGAACACCTGCCCCCCCATCCCCATTTTTCCATACCTCCCCCAGGTTGAGCCTCAACCGCAAGAGGGTAAGGCAGAGCCCGCCTCTCATTGCGAATTTCAGCAAGGGGCACCCTTTGATCGGTAGCTGATTTTGAAGGGAAAGCCACATTCAAGCAACAAAAGAGAAAAGGAAGGGCACCAGGGGTGAACTAAACTTCAGGGACTCCCACAAAACCGCGACGATTCGGCTCCTTTTGCAGCAGCTCCTCCAGTAGCAGCAAGCAGCTGGGCCACTGGGGGCGCAGCGCCCGCATTGCACACCCGAAGCTCACCACGCTCGGCCGCAGATGCCTATGCGCTCGACGAGCCATAAGCCATGGAAGGTCAGGCAAAACGATCGGGAAACGCCTCGGTTGCACTTCAAGGGGTCCTCAGGATGTCATGTTCTTCTTCTTCGCTCCCACTAGGCTGCAGGGGAAACGTCGTGGAAAGAAGGCAACTCTGGAGACCATCGTTTTTTCAGGCTGTAAGTTGGCAAATGAGAGGGTTCTCAAAACAAATGGGTGGCGGAGAAACCCGAACGACTCCACCAGTTAGAGGCTACGGGAAGTCTCAACTTAACCCCCCACCAAAAAAAAATATTGGGGATGTCTGCGTCCCCCGGGACCCCAAGGTAGTATCAATAGAGGGTGAACCCTTGGAGTGTCATCCAATGACATGGTTCCAGAGGTGAAGTTGCCTCCGCTTATGTGACACAAAAGCCTGGGGGCCCCTTTCAACTGAGCGGCCTCCACCAAACAAGCACACGCCAAACCTTTGCGGTGCTCCAACTGAGCATCCAACGTTTGCAAGATATTTACCTAAGGTTCTACCACAAACCAGCCACGTGGATGTTTCTCAGGCTGGGTGGTGTTGTAAGCGAGTGGTTGAAAGACACGTGCTTCAACCAAACAATTAAGGTTGGTAGTGTGAAAGCACACGCATTCATACCCCCAACAAATAAAAGAAAGAAAGAAAGAAAGAAAGAAAGAAAGAAAGAATGAATGAATGAATGAATGAATGAATGAATGAATGAATGAATGAAAGCAAGCAGTCTAACAAAATAGCAAGCAAGGTAGCCATGTCGTGCCAGCCATGGGTGGGGCCAGTGTAAAAGCCCCAGCCACCCGCCACTGAGCCTCTGCATCTCACGAAAGAGCTCAATGCTCAACTCCCAGTGGTCGGCACTTGCGGCGCTCATGGTGGCGTTGTAGGTGACCTGAATCCCGAATCCACGCCCTAAGGTGGCAAGTGGCGAAGAAAAGGCAGACTGTGCCAAAGGGTGGTCATAATTCAGAGTTCATGTAATTATATATTATTCTCCTTGATGCGGAATCTGAGCCATCACAATCCCTGCCCATTGCGAGTTGGTTGCGAGGGCTTTGCTGTGTGAGTGGGAAGCCAAGGGGATGCTTCGCAAATGGCCCCCTACGGACCTTTCGCTTTTAAGGGGAATGCGGACTTTCATATTACTCAACAAGAGCTAAATCTTTTACACAGGGGGGAATTGGCAGACAGCAAAGATTGGTGGTTCCATTCTGTTTTTCGGGCAAGCTTTGGTGTACTTCATGGGCGCGCCTGAAAAACATCCACCTGATGCGCCCTTTGCCTATCCTCATGGATCCTGTCTTGGAAGAAGCCCCATGCAAACAGGGCTTGTGGTTTGACCTTTTGCGGTTGGGCTTGCATGGGGCAGCTTTCATGGATGCAGCTAACTCCGGCATTTCCGACATGTGCGGGGTTGCGCATTCAGCAAAAACTACACACGAGTCTGCAAAATACCTGCAACACGTGCGGCGACGGACGCCCAACATCATAGTAAGCTCGTGTATACCCCCAGGCCGCAATAGAGGCAAATGAATGCAGCTGTGAGCACTGGCTCTGTTGTCCTCCTGTGTCGTATGGCTTGGGGCCATGTCCCTGACAATTTTTGGGATTGCCCGTGCAACAGCTACCCCATACATACATCGGTTCAATGAATTTAAAGGGAAGATTAAGATATGCTTCGGGAACACGAAATGTCCACAGGAACAGCATTTGTGGATTTTTCTGCCTGTGAACCTATGAAATGCCTCTATGTGGCCACCACCTTGGCCCGGCTCCAGGTCAGTTCTTCCATAGGGGGCCTGGTGCAACACCAACTCACCTACTGAGTTGACAACACACGGCCGGGAAAAAGATCACCCAACCGGTGATGAAGAGAGTAGTACCTACCAACAAAAAAGTCTAACGCTTGCCAACTCCATGGGTAGGTTAAGGGCATCCATCGCAAACAGCTTGCCATCTCAGATTGGCAGGATCAAGCCTTGTGACATGCGTAGTGCCCTCCCCCACAACTGGCCCTTCTGATTCTGTATTTCGACATTTCTTATTTGCCCAGTGGCCGTGGAAAATCAGGACACCCATTTTCTGCCTGACTTAAACGGGAGCCACCATAAAGAAAAGGAAAACACAAACGCAACTGGTCTACCGTGGCCGCCCATGGATTCCTCGCGCCGCCTTCTGGCTTTTCTTCGAGCGGTGGGAATCGCTGCCCTCAGTGGGCAAAGTCTTCTGGGCGCTATGCGCACTGGAAGAGTCAATCTGCCTGCTTGCCAGTAACCGTGAATAGCACTTGGAGTGCCCTTGCCTTTCACTAGCGCCGGTGAACAACCTGGCCGCCAATCACCTGCGCCACCCTTCAAACAATTTGCAATAAGGGAAGTCCAGCACCTACCAACCCAGAAGGAACAAACCACACCCGTCCATCAAAAGCAGAAGCAACCCTGTTTTTCCCGGCAAGTTACACCCGAGAAGACATATCCGGCATGTCCCTCTCTCAGAAGCCCTGCTCCGGAACGATGAGGATCTTGGCAAAGGCTTTGCCCTTGTGCTTCACCTGCTGCAGCTCCTGGATCCAACCCCGAGCGGCTCAGCTTTCGAGACGAAAGCCTCTGAAAGCCTCTGCCCCCTTTTTCGCTGCTTCCGGCAAGGTGCTGCGTAAAGTCCTATGGCTAAGGGGTGAAAAACCTCTTAGATCTCTGGGTCAGTTGTTTCTGGGCGCTTGCTGCAGGCTGGTCTTCCCGTCCGACAAGACGCGCATGCGCACGCAACTCTCATAAGAAACCCTGACTCCCAGCCGGGCAAATTGCAATGCAAAATGGAATTTAGGAATCCTGAGGTAAGGAACCTTTGTTATGGGCGAGATTGTCTGGTTAATCATGGCCAATTTCAAGATGGATGTGACCCCAAGATGTAGCGAGGAGGAAGATCTACTCGCGGCCACGTGTCTTCGCTAGTGAACGCATTCTTTATGCAGACGCGCGGACGTGGAATGCGGGACAAATGTGTGGCGCCAGGTTCTGCGGCGCTTTTGCGCTCGCTTCCGGCCAATCCCGACGTGTGCGAGTGATACAGCAAAGCGGCAAGGCTTCAAACTCGAGCTTCAATTTCACAAGGCTTTGCCCGGAGGAAAGATTCTCTGTGTTGAAGCATGGTGAACACTGCGGAGGAATGGAACCACGGGCAACATTGTACCAGCCAACATGGTTATATGTGCAGCTCGGTCCATAAGTCGGTCCATAAGTCGATTGGTCGGTTTTGGGCACCCCTCCTGCAGCTGCGGCTGCTCGAAGCTCACGAGGCCGTGGTCCGCCAGGGCCCCCAGCGCCAGCAGCGCCGCCTCGTTGGGCGCGGAGCCCTCGGGGAAGCCCTCCATCACGAGGCCTCGCATCTCAAAACCACCCGAACCGAATCCATACGCCGGAACGGGAACGCCAGGAGCGCTTTCTTTCTAACAAGTCGAATGGTTGGTTGATTCCTTTTCCATTCTTTTCAACCATCGTTCTTTCCAACCGGATCCGTTTTCCCGGGTTTCAATGCACTCGTGGCATGAGGCGAAGAACAATGGCGGTTCTCCACCATGGGAGACGTTTGACCCTGGAGCTTTCCATTTGGGGCGCCTTCTTGCATTTTTGTTGAACACGCAGAACCCATCCCCCTTTGGAATTCCATGCGCAAGGGGTGGCACATGCGCTGCAAGCGGCGCAGAGCATCGAAGGCGCCCTCGTCAATGGTGGCCTGACAAAGGACGGGGCCGTGAGCGGCTTCGGTGGCCCGCTCCGGCATGCCGGAGAGAGCAGCTGGAAGGGGCCTTTCTTGCAGCTACATGGTGATACTATGAAAAATTGGCGATACCCCCGCCCCTGATTGATTTCACTGTTTAAGCTCCATCCCCAAGTTTGCGAGAAGCAGCCCGCAGGCATGCTAGCGAAGAGTCAAAGAGCCAACCGACAGCATGCCCTGTAACAGCCTTTGGGCTTCGTGCCACTTGCGTACCTGCTTGCCTGTTTGATGAGCAAAGAGCTTGCTTTCCGCGTGTTCGTGGAGCCCCGGCGGAAACTGCAATGACATTACAAGGGTCAGACATGCCTCCAAGTCTGAAACTGCGAGTGGAATCGAATCCAGCGATTTCTCCCCGCTCCTTAGGCATGGGGAACCTGCGCAGAAGCCAGTTTACGAGGAACTGGGGTCCCTCGATTTATCTCCCCTAAATGTCATCCACTGTTGAGTTGCGGAAATCCAGTGACCCCTGCCGAATGCCGATCCTCTTGCACGTGGTCAATCTATACTGATTCAGATCCATAGCAAGGGGAGCCGTTGTAGCCAAATTTGGCTCCTCTTGCTATGGCTCTGAATCAACATGGTTGTAAACGAAATATGTTTGTACTGATGTTCCTGGTGGCGTTCAACTGCCAAGGGGTAATGGAGACGCGCCTCAACCCCTTACTTCCCAAATGCTGCCGACCTGGATTCAACAAGCGAGATATATTGGGTCAGCGACTTTGATCGAATTGGCGCCCGTTTTGCTGGGAAAAGGGGTGACTCCACCGCCAGAAAACCGCAGATTTTGGTCTTTGTTTCCATTTGCCAGGGCAACCCATTTTGGGCACCCAACAAGTTGGACCCACACCCAAAGGACGGCGAAAATGCATCGCCAAAACGCCCACCTTGGCGACTGTGAAGCCGCCCTCCCGCACCAAGCGCCAAATGGCTGTGGAGGCTTCTGTGCACACCTCCCCGTCGCCTTGCGAGGCGGGCAGTCTCACCAAGCGAGCCGAGTGGATGCCCCGGTGATTTGAGCTACAAGTTGACCCCAACAAAAGAAAAGCAATAATGGAAGAAACCTCTCCGTGGATATGTTGTTTCATTTTGACAAATTGTATGTTGGACAGTTGCAGTCACTTGCAAGTTAGACATAGGCATAGGGTACTTGCTGAGTAGATTCTGAAGTTACATTAGTGCAGCCTCCTTTCGAGTCGTGTGATCATCCTTTGGGAAAAGCGCGTCCTTCGAATTGCCCCTTCGCCCCTTCGCCCCTTCGCAAATGGGTTTCCATATCATATGAGCCATGATCAATTTACTTGCAACCCTTGAAGGACATAGGAAAAATGAGCGGGTTGGTGCAAAAAAACCATCTGAGCCCCCCTATGTCCCCAAATGGACCCTGTGACTTTAAGACCCAGCCACCCCCCCACCCAACAAAAAGAGAAGAAGAAACCCCCGAGTCTTGGGACGCTCAAGAAGAAAGCACGAACAGATCAAAGCGACGCGCGCAATGTTCGACTCGCGCCTGGGAACCGGAGGATGGCCTCGCAGAGGGCGTCCTTCACCGCGTGGAGGTTCATCGCCTCCTTGGCCGCCCCGGGGTTGTGCTGCACCACGCGGAACCTCGGCGCATCGGTTCCGAGTGTGTGGGCTCTTTGGGGGCGTTGGATTTGTGGCTTCTCCGCAAATAACAAGGAAAGGCAACGGAGGTCCTTCATGGTCCTTCTAGGGCGTTAGATTTCGTTCTCTCGGCAAACAACAAGGAATGAGGGAACACTTTCACCCACCACAAGTTCCGCACATACCCCCATGTTGAAACCACTCTTGTTTCAACAACCTCACGTTGGTTTCCCTTTGCAGGAAGTACCAGAGAGGGCAGCCCGAAAGAAAACGGCACCGTTCCGCCGGTTCCGCCCACCCGATCCCACCCGCCCTCCGCCCAGAGCGAGGGGCACGGCGTCGCAGCCCGCCTTCTGCACCTCCGCCGAGTCGGCGCCCCGCATCTCCGCGAGGACTTGCCGCAGGTTCCGGTCCTCCACCGCCCGGTCGAAGCGCCGCTCCACGTCCATGGTGTTCCTGCAAATATCCGGCAGAAAAGGGGGGGACCCTGGCAAACATCCTAGAAAGAAGGATCCTTCATGAGCGAGCCGCTTTGAAGGCGGGATTCTATGCGCTTCTTACGTCACAAAGAACCCAGACATGGCAAAAGAGAGGAAATTGGAAGGGCGAAATCATCGGGTTGTCTTTTGCTTCCCCTTCCATCATGAACCCGCGGGAGAGAATACAGAGCTCTTATGGGCGCTGGATTGTTCCGAGTTTTGAGACTTTTGTCAGGGGGAGCAACAGGGCAAGCCATCTTCCCGTCATCTAGCGGCCTCCAGGAACTGTCCCCACATGTTGCCCCAAAATTCGACAGACAAAGGGACTGCCGGGAATACCACCTCTCCCACCAAGGATGCCAGCATAGAGTTAAAAGCTCTTTGAAGCGAACTAAGATGTCTGCAGCTTCCATCCGGCTTCTAACGCCGACCATGAGGATCCTCAAGTTACCTCATGTCCATGGCAAAACTCCCCCATTGAGAAACACGTGCAAGATCTCCAGCACCGCGCTCCCGGGCCACTGAACAATCCAACGCGTCCAAAACCTTCACACGCCAACCCGCGCGAGGCCCCTGGCCGCATTTTCCCAACATAACAACCCACACCTCCCCAGTAAATTCATCCGTGGCAGAACACACACCAGCCCCCCCCCCAGCAAACTGATCCAGAGAAATCTCATGACTCATGCCTCCCCTGTCCTGGCGTGCGCCCGGACAGCGCCCGGGCACCCTCTCGCTGAGCCCAGCGGCGCGGCGGTATGCGAGCGAGCGAGTCTTGGAAACCTGGAATTTGTGAACCCACATCTGGGGTGGGGGTTTGGACGGTGGGGAGTTGACCCGCATTTGTTTTCGACAGGTGGCCGTAACGACCTGATTTGAACTCAACCCCGATTTCTATGAACCCTGGCCAATGGGTGCGGCACCGAAGCGCTTGTGAGTGCGGAAGCTTCCAGTGTCCTAGCACAGCGTGCTCCAACCACCTTGTTTGCAAGGGGCAAGCTTCGGGCAAGACATTTCTTTGTGAAAATGGCGGCCGCAGCGCGCTCCCGCAGCAACACAAGGCAGAGCAAAACAAACAATGACTGCGATTTGCGCAGCAAACCTTGGCCACATGCGCGGGAATGCCACGGTGAAGAGGTGCAGCCGAGCATGAGGGTGACATTGGAGAATACAAGGGCAAAAAGAGTGGCGCACGCAAAAGTGATTTGGGCAAGTTGCTTCCTTTCCCTTAGCCCTGCGCAAACAAAACTCATTCCGGAGCTAGAAAGTTCCTGTTGCACTTTCTGCACTCAGACGAGATCCGCCCAAAATGTGACCCTTTCACAAGCCCAAAAAAAAACACGCATCTCGTACTGGAAGTGACACGAAAAACGACTTCCACTCGCAAGTGATCCTGGAGCGCCCCACCCCAGTGGCCAAAAATCTAGCGACATAAACTCTAGTTTATAGATGACAGTGACGTCTCTTCTCCGATTTCTCGATTTATGATGGCCAACCAGCCATCCGGCAAACATGGCCCTAGGTTGATACATGACTACCGTCTTTGCCCCTAATCTGAAGGAAAAGGAACACATTGCGATCGCCCAAAGTCTGAAATGATCGCACCGAGTCATAGTTTGCCCAGCTCGACATGCGGGAAGTTGGATCCCATGGATTCGGTCCCCCGCATTCGAATCAACGAGCCGAGGCATTCGCCACCGTGGGCGCGCACTTGGCACGGGGCATGGCCCTGAGCAAGTGCAAGGCCTGCGGCCACCTGGGCCAAAGGCTCCAAACAGCGGAGAAGTACTCGCAGCGCGGCTTTCTCTCTGTCTTTCTTTCTTTCTTTCTGGGGGGGCTCCGTGCTCCAACCGGAAATGCCCTTCTTGGGGGTACCTGCATCCCACCTGGCGGTTTTGCTTTTCGTTCGGAGTTCTTTGGGGAGGTTCCGTGCGCCTTTGTTGGGGCACCAACGTCCGGGTGTGATGTGAAGGTCATGTGAGAGTAATTAGGTGTCTGGGAGGCCAGGTTCCTTATCTGTGATGCGAGCAAAATAATACGCTGCTCAAGGGAAACTCGGGCACAGCAACCACATTCCACCATGTGATGCAACCAAGGAGAAACAAGCGTGACACCTCGTGGGTGCGCGGATGTGCGACGTGCACCGTAAAGGGTGTATGAACCAACAGGAGCCAAGGATACTCCAGGAGTCGCGCTCAAGTCCAGATGCCTCCTTCAAGGGTAACCTTTGGACTAACTTGGCGTTCCCAGGCAGAACAAGGTTTGCACAAGCGACGGGAAAGCTGCTAGCGCCAAAGGCATGCACCAGTTTAACCAGCGCCAGTGCTGAGAAGAAGCTGGCAACTGGCTTCCTGAGGAAAACCAACAACACAGGAACTTCATTGAACTATTTGAAGCCAAATTGTGTTCAAGGGCAACACCGTAGAAACCATCATGTTTTGGCTGGCAAGCACAAACAGGCATATCTCGGCAGACGCCAAGCGCACATGCAAATAGACGTCAGGCGACTTAGCCACTAAGATCCCGTTTGTTTCTAAACAACAGATGTTAAGAATGCTTTCGGCAGAACCCGAAGAAGGATAAGACGCGTCTCGTCTCGACGTGGTCCAAAGGCTAGCACAGCTCAATTGCCTGGTCGCTTTGGGCTGCCGGCCCACGGCCATGGGACTGGGCAGTAACAAGTCCGAACAGAACTGTCCATTCCCAGTGCCCCATGCACCTCCCTATGCCTAAGTTGTACCTTCAGGCATTCTTCTCCCCCTGCCGCCAGCATCCTTCCCCTCACCCCAGCCCAAATTTCTCACCTTGGAGAGAACCTTTTGATGTCATGTTTAAAGGGACACCTCCCTGGCATCCCATTCTGGGTGAATTATAATTATAATTTTTCACCAGCCTGAAATGAGTTGTTGGTTGGGGAACCATTCCCCACATAACCAACACCATTTGGGGTGAGGTCGTCTGAGGTCGTCCTACTTCACCCAGATCCCATGGGCCGCGGCCGCGCTTTCCCCTCTCGCGACTCCCGCCTCGCGGCCGCGATGGCGTCTGCGAAGGCCCGCTCCAGAGGGCCCGCGCGGAGCTCCTGCAGCGCCTCCGCGTCCGAAACCGCGAGGGGAAAACGCGGCGAGCCCGGCCGCGTAAGAAAAACCGCGCAACTTGCCCGTTGCAGGGGGGTCTCCTGCTTGCGTTTGGTTGCGAAGTTGTTTTGCTTTGCTTTTTCCATTTTTTTGGGGGGGGATGAAGGAAGAATAACCCCAAGGGCAAAAAGGGACGTGGAAGTGCAGCCCCATCTCAGCTCTCAGGGGTTCCCCGTTACGGGGAACAGCTGTGCTCCCGCCTGCTGCAGTTCCGGCGACTCCCTCGCCAGCCGCGCCAGGCCGGGGTGCCTCTTGACTCGGGAGAAGGTCTGGCATTTGTTCTCACACCAAAAGCTACCCTTTTTTGTGGAACCTCCTTCCTTTTTGGGTTCCATACTAACTTGAAGGGGAGTAGTTCGCGGTGCTCACATGGCATCCAAGACCCCCAGCGAGAAGTAGCAGGCGACGGCAATTTGTTTAAACAAACTCGTTGCGTGCTAGCCTCATGCATCCACAAGCTGATGACAATCGAGGGAGAAATCGTTGAACATCTAGGTTCAGGCGACGCAGAGAAAAAAAGAAAAAAGAAAAAACGCATGGGCCGGAGAACACATAGTTTCGGGGCTTGCTTACCTCCGTGGAACGCAACGGCTGCTGTTGCTGTTGCTGTTGCTGCTCATGACGATGAATCTGATGTTCTGCTGCTGCTGAGCCGCAGCCGCCGCGTTGCTTTTGCTAAACAGGTGATGAAGATGGCGATGGCAATGAAGACGGTGGTGGTGGTGGTGGTGGTGGTGGTGGTGGTGGTGATCACCCCTGCTGCTCGTGCTACTACTGCCGTGGCGGCAGCCATGACAATGCAATCATCTGTGATACTGCCTAATCAGGCATACAAGAACAGAAACAGATCCAAAGGAGCTGGCATACAAAACTTGCTCAAGGACAATTCGCATGAAGCCACCGCATGTGTTGTTTGAGCATAGGTTTATTTCGCCGAAGCCCGGGGGTGGCCTCCTCCCCGGAAAGCAAACCGAGCCACAGCTCCCCTGCCTGGCCAAAAGGCGCTGCATGGAGGAACTCCCCAAGCTACCAAAGGATAGACTCAGCGACAAGGTCGAATATGCAACAGGAATGCAGTGCCTGCCACGATGATTGTGCATCCTTGACAGTAAAAACTTGTCCGAAGACTCGGATACAATGATACAACACCATTAACTGGGCTGGGGCATGGTAGAAAGAGCGGCCCTCGCGATTGCTTGCCATGCTGTCTGCATGAGTTATGGCTGTGAAGTGGCTTAGGATCCACGGCCAGTGCGAAGCGCATCACAAAACCAGCAGGAGCAAACCCAAAAAATGCACCCCAAAAAAGCACACCCAAGCAATGGCTGAGTGCTTTCCACAGAATGCAGAGACTTCGGCTGGCTGTGGCATTCCCCCATTTGGAAATTCGGCCAACAAATGAGGAGCACTGGTTTCAACTTCCCTATGGGTGCAAAGAGCTTTGGGTCAACGAAGGGACTTGGGTCTGCAAAACCAACAAACCTGAAATCAAGACCGCAGAATGGCAATTCAGCAGATGGATGCCTTTGCCATTATAACGTGACCATGATACTGTCCATGGTGTCATGACTCTAGCCGTTGTTGAGCCTTACGCTTCAGGGCAATAAAGTCACTGGCTTTTCGTGGCCTGGACACGCTACCGCAAACCCTTCTGCCTCCAAAGCAAACTCTTGCAGATTTTCGTGGAACAACTGAACCGACGCGTCTGCGCGCTTTCTGCTCACTCGCGCGTGCGCACGCCCCGCGTCAACCCGGCAGCCATCAGCGCCTGGAGGGCTGGATCACCGCCGAATGCCCAAGCCCTGTTGCGTCGGGATGGCGCAACAGTAAGTT